TGAACCCCCTCTTGGGGTTCTCGCTGATCAAATGGGCTGATGGCTGGGGCTCTACCAACTTCACTGCAATCGCAGGAGAGCCTGGGGCTCAGAGGTTATCCTGTGCTCTCCGCATGAAAGGTATTACTTGAAAGGGAGCTGGAGGCCCCCAATTTAAAGCCAAATGGCCAGGAGCCACAAAAGACCTAGACTGGTGAGAAAGGTCTGGCTTCTCCTTTGCATTTTCCTGATGACTCTCCTAACCACAATTCATCCAATTGACACACATGAGACCCATCACCTACAGTCTGGCAGGAGCCCAAATGCTTTAACTATACACACTAGCTCAGATTCTTGGAGCAATCCTGATGGACAGAGGGACCTGGAATCATCTTCCCAGATGTATACCTGACAAAAATGAGGCCCAGAAAGGGCAAGCACCTTGCCCCAGGTCACACAGCAACACAGGGGTGACTGGGAGCAGTCTCCGGTTCCATCCTCTATAAGGTGAGGGCAGCCAGACAGCAGGGGACAGACTCTGCTCACCCTACATTGTTCACTATCCTTGCCTTTCTTTCCTACCAGAAACCACAACAGTAGGAAAAAAGGTTGAATTTGTATAGAATCTACATTCTCCCCTCACTCTCTTCTGTAAGTACCATGAGCCACTTCTCTGTTTCTACCATTCCCCGTCCCCATTTCCCCATTCCTCATGTGCTAACACGTAAGGCTAAACTTCAGAACTCCTTACAGTTTCCAGAACAGTCCTGCCATTCCTCTCTGCCTTTGTACAAGATGCTCTCTTGGCCTGGAATTCTCTTTCCTCCTTAGTCTACCTGGTAAACTTCTATTCATCCTTCAGAGCCCACCTCAAATATTCCCTTCTTCTAAGAGTGCTGTGCCTGATGCTCCCTTAATCTTCCTAGAGAGGGCTGATCACTCCCTGGTGTGCTGAGATTATGAATAGGTTTAGGAACTCTCAAAGGAGTTCCTTTGAACTCCAACTTGACCTAAGGCCAAGAATCAAGTCGCAGGACTATTAGTAAACTAAAAGTACGGAGTCTGGTCCCCTCTGCCACCCCTGCCACGCCCCGCCCATCACCTGCAATGCTTGCACTTCACTCCGAACATCATGCTCTTCTGGCACACGTGGCAGACCTGCGACAGCCAGGACTTGGTGGAGAACCTGTAGGGAGTGGACACACAGAAATGCTCAGGGGGGCCAGGATGGAGAAGGGTCCACAAAGCCGCAGAGAGAACAGGAGACTTGGTTCCATCCCAGAGCCCCGGGCACCCTCTCGCATGCAGGGCAGAGACACCCAGGGGTCGCTGCTTCCCCCAGGCATTCAGATTTCTTAGTCACAAAGTCTTCATTGCCAAAGTCCCAAAGCTGGTGTGGTCAACCGATGCCAGCTCTCTGGCAGGCAATTTGGCAAAAGCAATCAAAACCATAAGTGCGCACACAGAGCGATTCCAGTCCCAGGAATTCATCCAACAGATACTCCCACGGGTGTCAAACGATGTACTGAAAAGGTTACTCACTGCAGCATGTTTGTGGCAGAAAAGACGAGAAACAAGCTGTGTCGTTTAGGTGTACAGGTGACTGACTGCATAAAGTATGATCCATGCACACAACCAAATACCACGCAGCCGGAAAGTAAAATAAGGAAGCTCTTTTTGCACAAGTAGGCAAATGATCATTAAATTATGCTGTCGGTGAAAAAAGTAAGGTACAACGCAACGCAACTCCACTTATATGAAGTTCAAGTACAGGAAAAACTAACCTATGATGACGGAAGTGAAAAGTACCTCTGGGTACTCAGTACGGACTGAGAAGAGCCAAAGAAAACTTTCTGGGATGTGGATGCTCTGAATCTTCCTCTGGGTGGTATATGTGGGTGTATACATATGTAAGAATTTATTTGTGTACTTAGCTCTATATAAATTATGCCTCGATTTTAAAAAGAAAAAAAGCAAAGGATAGAACGGTGTGTATAATATATGCAATATTTGTGTGAAAACAGAAAAGGAGGCGGAAGAATATACATATGTCTTTGCTTATATAAAAATATCTCCAGAAGGACACGCAAGAAACGGCCAAGATCTGCCTGTAGGGGGAACTGGGGACTGGTGACAGCAGCAGCGGGACTTTTGCCGTATACATTATACCCTTTTAGACCTTTTCAGGTTTGAATTATAAATGTATTTCAATCCAAACTAAATAAAGTTTTAAAAAACCACAAAAGATATATTGGAAAGGAGGATGGGGATAGAGTGGGTGGTATCCTCCAGGGAAAAAGTCCAAGGTCCATTCATAGGGTGGGGAGGCCTGAGGGCAGAAAGAACTCACATTTTTGGAGGACTAGATTTTTTAAATCATTGTATATCATAGTAACGACAGAACCAACAGCAACAGTATTTGGGGAACAGTTTGTGACGCGTCCATGAACGTTAGCTTACTCCTGGGAGTGACCACCCCTGGGAGTTAGGCAGGTCTGGGATTCTTAGTACACAAGCAAGGAAACCAGCTCAGAGAGGTTAGGTGACTTTCCCGAGGTCACACAGTCCCTGTGTGACCCGGGACCCCAGGTCTCTGAACCAGAGCACGGCTCTATAAGAGACCCCTGGGCCAGAAAATGAGAGGAAAAGCGTGGGCTTTGGGGCCCGACCACACGGCTTTGAATCCTGCCAGCTACTGGCTGTGGGATGGGGCAAAGCCTTTGCAGATGAGGCCAACACTCTCCCCTCACAGGGATCTGGGGTGGGGGGGATCGCTCGCGTGCTGTATAAATGTGCAGAGCCTGGACTGTGGGCGTGAACGTCACTGTTTCTACTCAGCCAAGATGGGAGCTTGTGGGGCAAAAGGACAAAGACGCCCACCCCCTTGGAACGCTTTTTAAGGAGCCCCGATCCGGCCACCCTGAGATCCATACTCTCCTTTGCTCTGGTCTTTAATCTCCTGTCATGTCAGCAATGGGGGAAGGGGAGCAGCTCAGTGGTACATGAGATGATCTCCACCAGGAAGTCCTGAAAGCAGGTTGAGAGGCGGGGCTCCGCCGGAGAAGGGGCAGGTGCCAGGGGGGTGGAAGGGGCGGGGTGGGCGTCATGGAACAGTTTTCTCCCCTCAAGATTGAACCAAAAACCTTCAGAGCTTCTTGTCGAGAGAGGCCCGGATCATGAATTTTGAAAAACCAAGGGGGTATGACCGTGATGTCCCATACCCACGCCCGGAACCCAGGCAGGCAGGGCAGCCTGGCCATGCCAGACAAGAGGGGTACTGCTGCCTGGGTGGAAGGGAGCGGCAGCCTGGGAAACACTCGGGGTCCAGCTGGCAAATCCTCTGCGCGACCAGGTGCAGCCAAGGCAAAAATGAAACAAAACTGATCCTGGTGTCCCTTGGATAAGTCGGCCTCTCTCCGGCTAGAGCCAGAGGTTAAATACCCAGCGCTCCCCAGGGCTGGACGCGTAAGCCTCACATGCACTTCACCCCATTTTATCCTCACGACAGGACTGAGAGCAAGTCCCAACCGCAGAGGGGGAAACTGAGGCTGGGAGGGATTCCTGCCGACGGGCGATGGGGGGGGTCCCAACCGGAGAGGGAACAGGAGAGGTCCTGCCCTCTCACGGCTGGGAAGATCGCACTGGACACCGGGTGGGACAGAGGGAGGCTCTCAGACCTTCACTCAGACAGCTTCCCCTGGTGCCGGAGACTCTGCTCCCCGAGGCTCTGGGGTACAGGCATCCCGGCCCTGCCAAGGCTCTCAACAGAGGTACCTGGGCACCAGCCACGGGGCTCAAACAGCGTCTCGGTGGCCACGTGACCTTGGGCAAATGACTCAAGCCCCGCGAGCCGAGTCTGCACGGCTGGGTGAGGATCCGAGGCTGGCCTCCCGCACAGGCTGGAGTGCAGCTCACGCTCCGGGGGGAAATGAGTGGGCCCTGTTGTGTTCACAGCATCCTTTAATGGGGCGGCCAGAGCACCACGCATCCCAAGGGACCATCCTGCTGGCCGTCGGCAGTGGGGGACAGCGGGGGGCGGAACGAGACGCCGCCCGGAGCTGCTGTTGGCAGCACACGCGAGCCTCACGAGCGCTGAGGCCGAGGCCTCTGGGCTGTCCACGTTATGGGTCCACATCAGCCATGCCAGCTGCGTGAGTGCCAGAGTCACCGGAAGTTGCTGGAATGCAGACTGGCAACCCGAGAACCTTAGGGATGGGGTCTGGAGTTTCAGCAAGTTCCACAGGGCTCTGATGTGTGGCCAGTTATGTCCACGTAACTGATGTCGTGCTGGACCCAGAGGATGCTCTCGGCCCCTCCTCCCTGGGCCTTTGACCCTGTTTCTCCTGGGACCTGTTTTTCCTCAACAGACTGAGGAAGAGACCCAAGGAGGGGCAGGAAAGGGCCCAGCAAGTCCCAAAGACTGCTGGTGACAGGCAGGGGCTCCAGGTGGGTGCCGGGCCGTGTCCACAGAGGCGTGGACAGACAGACCAGAGACAAAGAGCCCTGAGAGACGGGGGTCAGGACAGCCCCTCCCCATGCAATGAAGAGCGACCCCCTGGTGGAGGCTCGGCTTATATAGGTCCCAGCCCAGCTCTGTGCCCCATCCCCGCCCCAGCCCAGCTGGGCCTACCTGTGTGTCACCGAGAGCCCGATGTCCCTTCGTACCATCTGTGGGGATCCGTGCAGGAGATCTGCAGAGAAAGGGGCCAGGTCAGGCAGGCTGAGGGGGCCCTGCTGGGGACGGCGTGTGCCTGCGACCTTCTGTCTCAGACATCACAGGCTAGGGCGGTACGGAGGGACCGCCATGTGGCAGAGGGACAGTTCCCTGAACCTGCATCTAATCAAGACAGAGACAGCCAGGCGAGACCAAAGGGGGCCAGTGTGGTCACCCTCACGCTTGGGCCCCCCCGCAAACAAATGGTACCACTTAGCCTCCGCAGACGGTTCGGAAATGGTCCCTGTGAGGTTTCTAGCATTGGCGGAAGGCAAAGCCAAGGTGAGGACAGCAGCTCCACTCCCCCCCCCCTCCCCCCCCTCTCGCACTTCCTTGTGGGTGCCCCGCCACG